GGGATAAATAATGAACACTGCATTGAAACACATGAGGGAAAGAGCATGACAAGAGTCCAGAATAAAAGCTGCATAACAAACTGGTCTGGGGGGTTGGGGGAGGGACGAAACTGCGAAACAATGAAATAATCTTTTTAAAGAGAGAAGTGAACTGGGGGGAGGTAGGGAGGAAAATGTGCAACAATGAATGAATGGGAATACAAATTTTCTGTAAATTTTTGTTAAAATAGCAATAAAAAATAAATTTTTCTTTTTACAAAAAGCTGGTTGCTGGAACTCATCCAGAGATGTATAGCATCAGAAGCCTGAAGGAGGGTGCTCTGTGTAGATTCTGACTTGACAGCAGTGGGCTTGGGTTTGGCTTTTTTCACTAGTTCTAGAACCAGGAGGTTAAATGTCTTCTAGAACATTCTAGATACTAATCCTTAGGAAGCTTAATGATTCTAAAATCCCAGAAATGGAATGATGACAGAAAAGCAGTGATGGAACACAACAGTGACAAAGCTAGGCACTCATCAGTAATCCCTCCTTCATGAAAGACGCCTTAGTACTCCAAACGTCTCCATGTGGAGATTTTAAAGGTTACGACGTACTACTGGAGTCTCTGAGTAGTTAACGTGTTTGACTGCTAACAGAATGGATGGTGGTTCAAGTCTACTCAGTTGTGTCTTGGAGGAAAAGCCCTGGTAATCTACTTCCAAAAAAATCCACTGCTGAAAACCCAATAGTGGATAAATGGAAATGAGAATCACAGAGAGGAACTGGGAAGAGTGCTGTTACAAGGGGGGAACGGTAATTAACACCATGAAACAAAATCTGTACAAATGACTGAATGGAAAATCAACTGCTCCGGAAACTTTCATTAAAAGTACAATTTAAAACAAAACAAAAACAGGTGAGCTCTGGTGGTCGAGTGGCAAGAAGCTGCACTGCAATCCCAGAGGTGAGTGGTTCAAATCCACCAGATCCTCTGCTGGAGAAGGAGGGACAATCTCCTCCTGTACCATTCAGATCCAATTAGACAGTATACACACCCACACACATCCACAAATACCCCCCAAAAAATAACCAAACAAAACCATAAAAAAGAAACTCTATGGAAAAACACACAATAAAGATCTGGTTAGACAAATTAATCAATGGCAATTACTGCTTTAAGTCAGAATGCCTATGAAAAACCAGTATGACTTGTAAATCTTCACTTAAGAGATAGTTCGCAACAGCGGATGAACAGAAATCCAAAGTCTCTGTAAACTTTAAAAGAAACATAGTTTACTCAGACAGACAGGCATTAAGTCCATTTTCTTGACTGTATTAATGTTCTAACTAGAGACTAAGGAGTTCCAGTAGTGAAGTGGTTAAAACAGGTGGCTACCAAACAAAAGATTAGGAGTTCAGATCCACCACCTACCCCGAGGGGGAGAAGTAACGAGAGCTTTGGAAACCTGTCAGTTCTGCTCTACCCGGCGAGGTTGCCACGAGTTGGAATCAGCTCAACCAACAGCAGCGGTTCTCTTTTTCTGGTTTAACTCTAGGTTGTCAAACATTTCTTAGGACTTTCTGGGCTAATGTGTTATATATGGATGAGGAAAAGGAGTCCCAGGGGAGAGGAATGGCTTGATGAAAACAGTGATGATGATGACGGGGCCAGGGGCAGGACCTGGCACACCCTGGTGAGGGCTATGTTTCTTTCCTGACAGCCCTCTTTCCACCCGAGTGCCCTCAGGATCATCTATGGTTCCCGATGAAGATTAAGAAGCAGGATGGGCTTCTGAAACAACAGGCCCTCGGAATCCCTAGGAAAAGCCCCGTCCTACAGAGGTGTCACAGGAAGCTGTACCGTCAACCTAGGGGCACTCAGTTCAATCCACCAGCTGCTTCGAGGGATAAAGATGGGCAATAATCTCCTGCTGTGCGATTTACAGCCTCTGATAACCTCCACAGCCAGAGGGTTAGCTGTGAGTCAGTTCTGACTCCATGGCTCATAACAACATGTTGTTAGATGCTGCTGCTGAGTCCAGTACAACTCAGGGCAACCCTGTGACAAACAGATCTGAACCCTGTCCCACCCTGTGCCATCGTCACAATCTCTAACACGCTCAAGCCTCTTGCTGCAGTCACTGTGTCAAGCCACTAAGTTGAGGGTCTTCCTCTCTTTTGCCATCCCTCCACCTTCCCAAGCGTGTCCCTTTTCCAATGAATAGCCTTTCCAAGTAACACGACCAAAACATGTGAGATGAAGCTTTATCATCTTTGCCTCCAAGAAGCACCATTTCTAAGACTTATCTGTTTGTTCTCCTGGCGGTCCATGGATTATGCAGTGCTTTTCTCCAACAACACAGTTCAAAGACATCAATTCTTCTACTGTTATCTTTATTCACAGTCCAGCCCTCAGCAATATAGCAAATGACTGAAAAGATGATGGCCTGAATCAGGTGTACCTTAGTCCTCAAGCTAATGGCATTGCTCCTTAACAACATAGGGTTGCTATAAGCTGGACTCAAATGACAGCAGCGGGTGATGGGTACAGACAAGGTACATCAGCCAAGACCCTAATTTAATTTGCACCTTTTGCCCTCTAAACTATGAGAAGCTAGCTCTGGTGGTGCAGCGGACAGCAGTGCTGCTAGCCCATGGCTGCATTTCTCTGGCAATATGCACGTAGCAGCGGCTCCTTGGGAGAAGACAGGCAGCCTCGGAAACCTGATAGAGGGTCTGCTAAGACTCTGAACCAATGCCACGGCATTGAGAAGAGAAGAAATACAAGAGAAATTTCTGCTCTTGAAAGTCGCTGACATGCTAGCAAGGGCAGAGGGCCTGGGGCCAGACTCACAGAAGTCGCTGTGCCGACGCTGGCGGTGGTAGGTGGAGGATGCTGTCCGCTGCCCCTTGCTGTGACTGGCACCTTTGCTGGAGCTTGTCCCGTTGGTAGTGTCGCTGGGCGCCCGCACCCGTGCCAGGGCCAGTCCTGGGCCACCCCGGTCCCCACCCTCCTGCAAGAAGACACAGAGCCTCAGTCCCTGGCCCATCTGTCCCGAGTCCCTCCACCCTGGACCATGCACACCCGATGTGACCTCTGACCTCAGTCTTCCTGCCCAGCAGGAGGTAGGTGGCAGTCACTTCGTTGTACTTCTGGCTGGTCAAGGCCTCTTTGATTTCTTCCCGAGTGTAGCCCATGCCCACCATCACCTCTGGGGGAGTCGGATGGAGAGAGAGGGGGGTCAGTTTCCCCAGACCAACCCTCGGAAGAAAGGCCTGGCAATCTACTAAAAAGCCATTTCTGAGCCAGGTCACTAAGGCCTGTCCAGTATCCATTGCCTCACGTTTTCTTTGGGAGAATAGTCCATCCCTCCTCAATCAACTGACTGGCCCCAGCCTGCTCCCAGTCCTCCATCACTTCACCCCCAAGAGAAAAAAAACACAGTTAAATTCTGACTTATGGTCACTCCAGTGTGTATCAATCATCACAATGAACAATACCCCAGTGTTTTCAAGCATGATTTCTGCAAAGCAGATTGCCAGGCCTTTCATCCGAGGGTGGACTTGAACTGCCAACCTCTACTTAACTGTCTGTGCCATCAACGCACATCCTCTTCAGGTTCCAAGCGTGAATATATAAATCAGGTCAGGCCAATCAGAGTGCTCCACGCCCAAAGTCACATGGATTGGTTCAGAGGTAACCAATAAGCACTAGCCTCGGGCTTCTACTGAAACATCACTAGGATGAGCTGTGGCCAGCTTATTTCTATGGGTGAGAACTGTCAATGACGGTCTGTGGGCACCTGGATCCTGCTACACCTGAAGCCTCCATAATGCTGGTCTTTTCAGTGAAATGAATTGATATATATTATTACTATTACAGCAAACCATATAAAATTGCTGATGTTCAAAGATGTCAGTTTCTTATATTTCACTGTGTTATTACTGTGACTCACTCGTGGTGATAAAGTGACAGAATCCCTGGTGTCCTGGCCCCTCACAGCAGCCGCCACGGGACCATCAATAAAAGCCTGCCTGTTTCCATGATGCTGTGCAACTTATAGTGGAGCTTCCAGACTAAAGACACACTAGGAAGAAAAGCCTGGCAATCTACTAAAAATCAGGCCCTGAAAACTCCACAGATCAAAACAGTTTGATCTCCAACCAGTCATAGGCCGGGGCAGGACCAGACAGCATTTATTTCTGTTGTGTATGGGGTCAATATCAGGGTGATGGCTAATAAAATGACATTACTGTTATTATTATCCTCTTTAAACAGCTTGGATTTGGGTTTACTGTTGCCTCCAACCATGAAAATCCAGACTGATGCAGCCAGGCTCTGGCGATGGCCTCAGTTTCCTTATCAATTCTCCAGTTAATGTAGAATTAGGGGTTATTGGCTGGTTCCAAGGGACTCTTCATGGGACAGGAGTGCACAGACTTCAAGCTGGAGGGACCAGGATGCAAAGGGGTGGGCAGGTGAGGCCCCAGCCAAGGTGAGAGGTTCTTAAAATGAGCTGAACATCAACAATGTGTGCTCAACTATTTACAGAATCACTGTGTGACAAAAATTTGGTTGTGTTTACAGTGAAACTTCACACAGCAGATAAGCTTCCCATTCAACAATTTTTACACACGGTGTTCAATGACATTAGTGACACTCTTCACACCGTGCGGACAAGCTCAGGATTTTCGATGTGGTGTTTATTGTTCCTTTACCTTGTTTTAAATATTACAAGCCAATGTGCACTTAGTACATACCAGGCCCTTTAAGTAAATGAGCTCTTTTGAGATTCCTAATAGCTCTCTGAAAAGAAACCCTGACAACATAGTGGTTAAAGCATTTGATGGCTCACTGAAAGGTCAGTGGTTCAAACCCATCAGGTGCTCCTTGCGGCGAAAGATGAGGCCGTCTGCTTCCATAAAGCTGCACAGCCCTGGGAACCCTGTGGGGCCAATTTACTCTGCCTGTGGGTTTGCTCTCAGTCTGAACTGATGTGACAGCCACAGGTTTGTGCCTGGGTTTGTTTTGGTTTTAAAACAACCTCAGGGATTGGTTCAATGATTATGACTGTTTTAAAAACGAGTCACAAAAAAAAACCCAAACAGAAGAACAATTGCCTCAGGTTAATTCAGACTTATGGTGACCCCACATGTGCAGAAAAAAACAAGGGTGCCAGAGAGTCTTAAAGAGCTGATTTTCCATAAACAGAACACCAGGACTTTCTTCCTATGGTCCTCTGGGTGGGTTTGAACCATCTCCTTTAGGTCAGCAGCTGAGCCTGTGCTTCTTGTACAGAAGACTCTGTTGTTGCAAGTGTCACCAAGTGCTACACCCCCAAGCCTCCTCCCATGTCCATTTTATAAATGAGTAAGTAAAAGCACAGAGAGGGACTGCCACTTGCTCAGGGTCACACAGCTAAATGTTGTGACTGGAGGCCCAGCTTTCCCCTAGCCTTCTAAACAGCCTTGAAAGCTCTTTGAATGCTTCCTCAAGGGGAGTGGGTGCTGAGGACTCCTGCATGATGGCTCCAAGGCTCATGGCCCCAAGGAGGTGGGACCCCACCCTTCCTGCTCCTTACCGATCCGCTTGGTGTCCCCAAAGTCCTCCTCGGGCTCTGTGTATGGCTTCAACTCTTCACCTTCATACCCGATGTTGATCCATTTGTCTTTCATGATTTGCTGTGGGGGTTGGGAAGAGGAAACGGGTGAAGAGAAAGTGAAGTACAGAGAAATGCAGCTTCCCTGTCCTGGGGCACCTCCCCACACACTTTCGAGGCCTCATATCCCAGAATCCAGGGCTGTCTGAGCCCTGGTGTCTCCCGGCGCCCCGTTCCCCGTGAGCATCCTGATGCCACCCCCCTCCTCCGCAGCATCTGGGTCCCTGGCACCCTGTAATCATGCTAGGAGCTCATTAGCTAATTACCGGCCTGGCAGGGTGTGGGGGAGTCCTGTGGGGGCATCAGGGAGGGCTCAAGTCTATACCCTGCCTCCCCAGTGGATCTCCAAAGGTGGGGGCAGAGTGGGGGGCAGGCAAGATTTGTGGGGCCAAGGCTCACCTCAAGAGTGCAGCGTTTTGCTGGGTTCAGCACCAAAAATCTCCGCAGGATGCTCTCACAGTCAGTGGACATGTAGAAGGGGACCCGGTACTTCCCTCGGAGGACACGCTCCCGCAGCTCCTGGGGGGGACGGCACTGGGTGAGGGTCACTCGCCCGGCCGGCCTCCTCCCCAGGCCCCACCAGGTCCCCACGCACACCTCATACACAGACATCCACTATCCACAGATACACTCACAATACATCCACCATGCTCTTGTTTTCAGGGGCCACTGAGGTGGAAGTGACTCACAGCTGACCCGCCAGGGGGTTTTCGGCGTCCGTGAACTGGACAGGAGGAGATGACCCATCTCTCTCTCGGAGCAGCTTGGATACAAACCGTGTGCCTTTGGCTTGGCAGGGCAACTCCGTACTGCTAGACCACCAGAGAGAGCTCCAGTATCATAAAAATACACACACATACTGCAATCCCAGAGGTACACGGTTCAAATCCACCAGATGCTCTGCCGGAGAAGGGGGGACAATTTCCTCCTGTACCAGTCAGATCTGATTTGATGGTACACGCACAAAAAATAATAATATATATATAAAAAAAATACACATATCACCACACACCTAAGTACAGATGGCACACGCACGTCACATAAAACACATGCTCATCATGTATGAATACACCACATTCACACATCACAAACATTACATAAACAATATACACACCACATAGCACAGGTCACAAGAAATACACATACCAGACATTATACACACACACCACCCACCCACATATCAGATACACACATGCACATATTCCACATAAACAACACATAAACCACCCACAGCCTCTCATACTTTAAAAGCATATGCTGTTACTCTTACGTGCTGTCAAGTCAGAATCAACTCTTAGGTGACCCTCTAGCAAGTTTTTCTCCCTTGGAGATAGATTTGAACTGCCTGCCTTTGGGTTGGCAGTGCAACTCTTTACCCATCAGACCATGAAAGCGCCCTTACATGCACATACGTACCACACACACACGCACATCATATACATTCACCTTCACCCAACTCCTTACAGAACCAATGGCCCAGACCAGGTAAGCAAAACCCCATTCATTTTTCTGGCTTTCGTATTCTACCTGAAAAATGGGAACGTCATACCTAACACAGCATTTTTTTTAAAAAAAGAATATTTTTAACAATATGATTTTTCACTCCAACGAAATTTTACAGAGAAGGCCAATTCTCGAAGCCTAATGAAAGAGGAAGAGGGCAAGTGGTTGGTCTCTGGGGCCTCCGTCTCATCTGTAAGCAGAGCTCAGGGTCCCCATCCTGTAACGATGCCCCGGGATAGAAATGAGTTTATGGGTAGTTATTAGAGGAACCCTGGCGTTAGGTCCAGTGGTTAAGGCAGTCAGCAGCTAACTGGAAGGTCAGTGGTTCAAACCCACCATCTGCTCTATGGGAGAAAGACATGGCAGTCTGCTGTAGTTAAGATTTACAGCCTCGCTAACTCTATGGGGAACTTGTACTGTGTCCTTTAGGGTCACTGAGACCAAATGGCTTGCCTGGACAGCAGTGGGTCCCAGTTTGGGTTTGGTGAGGATGTCGTTCCATGCCCTAGACTGTGGCAGACCAGGAGGGGGCCACCTGTCCGTTCTGACCCGCAGGGACCTCTGGTGTGCAGTTTGTAGGCAGCTGACTGCTAACCTCAAGCCCACGCCTCTGACAGTTCAAAGCTGAGAGAGGTGTGATTTACTGCCTCCCAAAAACCCACTGGAAGGCCAGCTCGGGGTCGGTTGCGACTCGACGGCAATGACTTTCGCATTTACAGACCTTACTGGACAAAGTGGAACTGCTCATAGGGTCCCGAAAGCAGGAAGCTAACTACGGAAGCCGACTGCCTCGTCTTTCTCCCAGGGTGGGTTCAAACCACCCACCTTTTGATAAGCAGCCTGCTACTTAACCAGTTACCACACTAGAGCTCTTTCAGGAACTGGAGAACTGGAGACAACAGAAAATGGACATGGAGGCACATGGAGGGGGGGGTCACCCTCTTGGGGTGGCATGTCCCTGGCATTCTCCTCCAAGCCCTGGAGACATGCACCTGGGAGCGTCCCGGGTCTACAGATCTTTGCAGCCAACGGCTCATGAATATTTCACAAAACCTATCATGTTCAGAAGGCGCTCTAGTGATGCACTCAGTGCATTACATGCTGGGTTGCAAACCAACAGGTCAGCAGTTCAAATCTGCGATCTGCTCCTTGGGAGAACCATGAGGCAGTCTGCTCCCAGAAATATTTACAGCCTCGGAACACAGGTGCATGGTCGATGTGAGTGTGGATCGACTGGAAGGCAGTCCGTTCTGAGGCAAGCTGAGTTCCAAGCACAGTAGAAGTATCTAACACTGATTCTCCCAACAATGGTTAGGGAGCAGAGTTACTATACCTATCTTCCAGATGGGAAGATCAAGGCCCAGAGAGGTTATGTCACTTGCTCAGGGTTGCAAAGCCAGTAAGCAACAATTCCTGGGTTCAATTCCTGGGCACAGGCTATTCCACTGTGTCTGTCTCAGGGCTACAAGTGCATCCTTTTAATGTTCCCATTTTATAGATGAGAAAAGGAAGTTCAGAAAGAGGCTTCCCTAAGGTCACAAAGCAAGGACACAACAGAGGCAGGGTCTTGGAGGGAGCTGCACGCCTCCTCCAACCGAAACAGGATGGGTGTGGCTAGTTGGAAACTAGGAAAAGCAGACGTGATCAGGGTCTGGGGCAGGGGGACCCCAACTTGGCTTTTTTGAAGCGTCTCCTGCTGACAGCATTGGGCATAGAATATTTATTCTACAAAAGGAGCTCCCAGTTGTGGGTCCCTTCTGAGGGTCGGGTGCTGCGCTAGGTGAGGACTTTGTACGCTAGCTAAGTGGACCCTTGTGTCTTTCTCACGAGGGGGCGATCATCGAACAGAGGGAAAACTGAGGCTCGGAGGGACTGAGGACATGGTAAGAAGGGGGTTCCTTTCTTCTCCTCCTCCTCCTCACTCAAATCTCTGCCCTGGCGCCCTCTCCTGGGTCAGCACTTCCCTGACCCCTTTTCAAATCACTGTTGTCACCAGGGGCTGCACTGCCGGGCAGAACCTTCCTGCGGCGGGAAACCCCCCACCTGCACCCACTCACATCAAGGCACCAGGCAGCCCAAAGGGGGCCTTCCCTGCAACATCCTGGTGACCTATCACGACTCACTCAACTCCCCTCCTCGTGACTAAGTGCACAGGGTTGAACCGTGTGCTCTGCACGAATTTCAAGGGCTGATTATTTTCCGAGAAAGACAGCCAGGCCATTCTTCCGAGGCTCCTGTGGGTGGACTCAAACCACAGACCTTGCAGTCAGCAGCTGGGCGTGTTAATCACCTGCGCTACCCAGAGACTTTTCCACTTAACCTCATGTTTGCAATGCCTCTTCGTGTTGCAGCACTATGAGGGGGTCAGGATTTCTGTCTGTTTACACAGTCAGTACTGACTGAAGCTGTCAAGGATTTCACTGGCTTAGATCCACAATCAGGGCCCAGGGAAAAATGATCTACTTCATGGTGTAAATCTGCTGCACAAGAACTCAAACAAGGTGCTAGAGCAAATATGCAACTGTAAAGACTAAGGTGTGCCTGACCCAGGACACATTTTCAATTGTCCTGTGTGTGCTCAGGAGCTCCTGGTGGCTTCGTTCTAAGGATTTGCACTGCCAGCCCAAAGGCATGCAGTTTGAATTCACCAGCTGCTCTCGCCTCTGAAAACACGCTGGAAGATTAGTTACAAGTCCATTCTGACACAATGGTACACAACAACAACATACACTCATGAGGAAGCTAGAAATGAGTAAAAAAGGCACAAGAAGAACGAAGCATTTGAATTATGTTGTTGACGAAGAGCATCGAATATATACTACCAGCAGCCAGAAGAATGGATAAATCAGTCTTGGAAAAAGTGCAGCAAGGAGGCTCCTTGGAACCAAGGGTGATGGTGATGAGCCCTCCTCTCATGCACTCTGGGTGTTTTCACTCTGCATATGGGGTCACTATAAACTGGAACCAACACCCAACAACAATGTTCACTCGCTGCTGTGTGTGCAAACCCAAAGGCATATCGTGACACACTAGGCGGTCAGTTCACATTCACGAGGGGGCAGGTGTGAACCCATTGGCTGCAAAGCCCATGCTACGACAGGCATGGTGCGGCAGCCTGGGCAGCGGGGACCCTGTCCTGCCTATGTCTTCAGGTCAACCTGTCCCTCTGGACCCCTTCAAGGAGGTGTGGGGAAGGTGGCAACCGACTGCAGGGGCCCGGAAGACCCCTCCCGGAGAGCAAGACGCAGTGCCCGGTCCCGTGCGGTACCTTGAGGTTGTGCCCGTCGAAGGGCAGGGAGCCGCTGACGAGCGTGTACAGGATGACGCCGAGGCTCCAGATGTCCACCTCCGGCCCGTCGTACTTCTTGCCCTGGAAGAGCTCGGGGGCGGCATACGGGGGGCTCCCACAGAACGTGTCCAGCTTCGAGCCCAGTGTGAACTCGTTGCTGAAGCCGAAGTCGGCGATCTTGATGTTGGCCTCAGCGTCCAGCAAGAGGTTCTCGGCCTGGGAGGGGAGAGGAGAGGGCAGAGGGTGGAACACTGGCATACATCCCATGTGGTCGTGCATGGTGGGCAGGAGCTGGCCCCCCGGGATGGGCTCTCAGTCCTGGCCCCAGGCTGTCTAACCTCAGACAGGCTGCTTCCTGTCTATGACTCAGTTTCCTCGTCTGTATGAATCCCAAACCAAATCCACTGCCATCGAGTCTAATCCAAATCAGAGGGATCCTGCAGAATCGCTGGGTCTCTGTGGCTGTAATATTTATACAAGCACAATGCCACTTTTTTCCTTGGGGAGCAGCTGGTGGCTGGTGGGTTTGAACTGTCGACCTTGTGACTGGCAGCTGATGTCTCTAAGTTCCACGGCAGCACTAGGTCTTCTTTGCCATACTTCAGAAAACTCAAAATCAATGCTGTGGGGTTGGAACTGACTCCCAGCTCACCTGCCACTAGGTTTCTGAGGCTGTAAATTGCCCAGGAGGAGACTGCCCATCTTTCCCCTCAGACCTTTTGGTGGATTCGAACCTGGATGGCGAAGCCTCCGAGTTACCAGGGCAACACCTTCCAGACTAGGTAACAGAGGCTCTTGTTATTGTTGTTGTGCTCTATCAAGTCAGAACCAACTCATGGCTGAGCCTCCAAGCTGGTTTTCAGAGGCTATAAATCACACGAGAGGAGACCACACATCTTTCTCCCACGGAGCACCAGGTGTATTTGAACCTCATACCTTTGAGATGGCAGTGCAACTTCTTACCATTAAAGCCACCAGGGCTCCCTCCCAGGCTCTGGGTTGATGAGGGTGGTTGTATGACGAGCTAAGGTTAAGAGCTTCCTGGGGGAATTCCCAGTGCTAACCCCAGCTCCCCAATCCCTTCACTGTGTGACTCTGGGCAGGTTACTAGACAGCTCTGTGCCTCAGTTCCCCTCCATGTAGACTGAAGATGATCAAAGGACCTGCTTCACTGGGAGGAGCCCTGGTGGTATACCTGGTGGTATAAGTGCTGGGCCACTGACTAAGAAGTCGACAGCTCAAATCCACCAAAGGCTCCTCGGGTGAAAGATGGGCCGTCTCCACCCATAAATGCAGACAGTATCGAGGTGGACTGGAACTGCCAGCCTCAGTGAGCAGTGCGGGCGCTTCGACCATCCTCACAGAGGATGTGACAGAGGCTTCCCACGGGGCAGGAGGACTGGATAGCAAGCGGGTCTGGGCTGGTAGCTCACTGGTGGCCAGGGGATCGGAGGAAAGTGCACGGAATAGAGTCAGGAACATAGCCATGTTCAATATTTGCTTCATATTGCTTTTGCTATTTAATGTCTTTGTGGGGTTTTCTGGCCATTTTTCACAGACCAGGAGAAGCAGGTTAGTAAGGTCACCTCAAGCCCTTAGTGAGTGGCTGAGCTGAGGTCCACGCCGAGCCTGCCTCGTCCAAGGCAGAGCGGGAGGGGGTTTCTGACTGCTTGTCTCATCTCTTCTCCTGACTGGAGACTCATAGAGCCCATCCTCCAAGACGTCGCCCACGTCTGACCCTGGTCTAGTGCCCGGCACCTCTGGTCTCCTCACACGCCTCCCTGCCTCCAGGTTTACTTGCATAGCACCCCAGAACCTGCTTCACAGCAGTTCCAGGTCCCCCTCTCCCCATCTGATCCTCTACAGTCTACCCCAACTTCAGGTTAACTGGGTCTCCCTGTGGCCCCAACCCGACACCCACGATTTTCTTGTGGCCACTGCCAGCGCCCTCTGTCAGGAGGCGTCCTCCCTCCAGCTTAAAGCTCACCATCCCATCAACTGCACACCTACAAGGCAACATCAAGCCTTCGAACTGTGCTTCTGACAAAGAGCACGGAGTGTCCCGTCCACCGCGAGACGCAATGACCCGGTGCCAGTCACAATGCATGTGAGCACGGCAGGGACTGATGGCGCAGGGCGGGGCAGGGCTTGGTCCTGTTGTCCAAGGGTCACTGTGAGTCACGGCAGACAACTCAAAGGCACCCAACAACAAAAGAGGGTGTGGCGGGACATGGAAGTTAGGAAGAGAAAGAGTGGACATTTAGAAACTTCTAGAACACTTTGACAAGAGACAGGCCAGGCTGAATCATCTTCTAGAGACTGGCGCTTGTATTTTCTTTTTCACTTCATTTTTCCCATCATTCACTTTTAACTCTGTTTATAATAAATGGTTATAATAAGAGTAAATTAACACAATTGCCACGTCCATTTTTTTAATGTGTCACAATTTAGTAACACGTAAGTGCATTAATTGTGAGGTTTTTGTCCGCTTCACAGATGATCATGGCCAGACGTCCCGTGCCAGCCAACCAAAACGCAATGCCGACTGAGCAATGGGGTCCCTGTCTCATTATCTCCGATCAGATTTTACCAAAGTGCCCATCTAACGTGGGCTGGAATGATAGTAAAAACTAGCCTGGTCCCTTCGCTGCAGAGGGTGTGAAACGCATTTTTTCTCAAAGCCCTCGGCCAGAAGCCCTGGTGGCATGGTGTGTGTCAAGTTTTCTGCTGCCAACCAATTGTTCAAATCTACCCCCGATTCCTTGTGAGAAAGAGAGCCCACAGCCTCTAAGATGTATAGCCTAGAGATTGTCATTAATTAATTACACTCATCAAAGCTACTCAATGCTATAAAAAATAAAACGCTTAGGACTCCTTATGTGAAACGCTGATAGGATTCATTAAACCTTTACTGAACAAGAAATTCATTCATAAAAATAAAAAATAACTTTTTGCATTTACTTTTTTGCATTTAAATAAAAAAATATTTTGCATTTAAAAAAAATACTTTTGGTGAGCTCTGGTGGCCTAGTGGCAAGAAGCTGTACTGCAATCCCAGAGGCGAGCAGTTCAAATCCACCAGATGCTCTGCTGGAGAAGGAGGGACAATCTCCTCCTGTGCCAGTCAGATCTAATTTGACAGTACACACACAAAAATTATTAAAAAAAATTAAAAAAAAAATACTTTTTTGCATTTAAAAAATATTTACAGCCTTTGAAACCCCCTAGAGGGTCCGTTATGGGCTGGAATCGGTATAATAGCAGTGGATTTGGTTTCTGCTTCACACACAGATGCTGGTAAACAGTAGGTGCTTAAGAAGTGCCAGTATGATCTGATGTGATCTGAACCAAAGGTTTACCTGTCCGATCTAAGAGAAGTTCAGAGACAGGTTGTACACTCTGTGAGGGGGTGTGGAGGGGATCCAGCCCTCTCCAGTCAGGTAATTCTTCCCTATTAGGGATCAATGTAGGTTCTGAGCACCTCAAACCCTGTGCCACCAGGGTCCAGGAACCCAGCACATCTCTAGAAAGTTCTTCTCAAGTTCTAAGGCTCCTGTGATAATAAGATTTCCCAAGGCAGTGGGACTCCCAGGCTCTAAAATCTAAATGGCTGGTCAAGGATTCCAGAATGTTCTAAAGCCTGAGAGCCAACAAGGCAGCAGTGGCTGCGAGCGTCCGGCGTCCTTGCCTGGTGCCCGTGTAACCGTGTGACTGTTCTAGGGCACTCCGTGCTGTCCCCTCAGCCCACGCCTCCGGTCCCCACCCTTACCATCATCCCTATCTGCTGGCCTTGAGCTGGACACAAAGGCCTGGGGAAATCCAGGCCTCTGGGTGCTGAGGGAGGGGGTGAGGAGAGGTGGGGGCTGCGGGGAAGCCAGGCGCTATAGGGCCTAGTGTTGACTCACCTTCAGGTCCCTATGTACAATGTTTTTCTGATGGCAATAGTGCACAGCCGATACAATCTAGGAGCGTGGAGGGGAGAAAATGCCAGTTACTTGTGGCTCCCAGACCCCTTCGCTTCCCTCAGGCACCCCAGGGATCCACTCACGCAGCACCCCTGAAATCCAGGCCTCCCTTCTCTCAGGCACAGGGGCAAGACTCCAGACAACCTGTGCGCCCCACACACCCCAATCAGCCACAGCACAAACCTCCCCCTGGCACTCGGCCCTTGGTCTCCGGCCCCTTGGGCCAGCCTCGTGCCCAGAGATCAGAACCTTGTCACTCCACGGATCTCAGAACAAGCCAGCAGGGCGTCCCCTCCCGGCCTGCACATCCACACCCCTCAGATCGCACACACCTGCAGGCTCGGCCACCAGCCCCAATCCGGCGTCTCAGGCCTTGTCGCATGAGCCCCTGGTGAACACACACGCAGATCTCTTGACGGATGCAAGCCCACTCACCTGCACGCCACCTCACCTCTCACCTGAGTACCTTCCCACCTGGGTGCCACTCACACCCACACAGCCCTTTGCCACACACACCTGGGCGTGCCCAGGCCTACACGGCCCCTTAAAACACACCTGCACAACTCCTGATGACACGCCTGGGTACCTTGACATTCAGACACCACCTTCCCACACACCTGGGCACCCTCACGCCGGTGCCGTCTTACACCTGCAGGCCCCTTCCCACACATACCTGGACAGTCTCTTAGCACACACCTGGACCACCTCACACCTACACCACCCCCTACCACATCGAAGGACAGCCCCACATCTGTACAGCCCCTCAGCACACACCCTGTCACCTTCACACTCACTTGTCCCTCAGGACACACCTGGAAATCCCCTTACCGCTCAGCGGATCACCTCACACACGCACAGCCACACACCTGGGCACGTTCACGCCCTCCTGTCCACACTCCGGCACCACCTCACACGCACGGGCCTATGTGCCCACACCTGGTCCACCGCCCACCTTCTTACACACCTGGACACCCACGTGCCTTTTTCCTCACTCCTGTGCTGCCCACTCACCTACTCAACCTTTGCCCCTTCCACTTCCACCTCTTTCACACACACCCCTGTGCCCTCCAAACCACACACCCCACTCCGGGCCCTCTCCAACCCTCTTACCTGAGCACTTACATACCTACAAACTGACATACTCACACCTGGGTTCCCACCCTCCCATACAGTGGACTGTACACACCCTCCTACAGGCCCACACCTTTTCAATACACACTTGGGCACCCACACGCCCTGCTTCCCACACGTCTGGTCCTCCCATCAAAATCCCTCAGCACCATACACTTGGACACACCTCTATACCTCGACACGATGCACCTGTGTGCCCCCATCCATCTACACATCTCAACACCACACACCTGTGCACCCGCGTGCCCCCTTATCCATCTACACACCTCCACACCACACACTGTGTTCCCCCTTACGCATCTACACACCTGGACACCACACACCCGTGTGCCCCCTTATCCATCTACACACCTGGACACCAC